GCTGCAACCTGGAAACATCAGTGGGAACTAACAATACAAACAGGCCTCAACCAAAGCCTGCGCCCTCCAGCTGAAGGACCAATAAAAGGCAAGCCAATAAGACAGACAACTTTGAGGCAATGACTGCTCTATTATAGCCAGATAACACCAAAAATACTGTGCCTCCAATCCTACCAATGCCAGGAAAAGTGAAATGAGGAGTCCAGACGTTCACCTGACAATTACTAGGCCACCAAGCCCCCCTCCCATTTGTCTGACAGCAGACAAATCCTAAGGGGCTAGACCTTTCACTATTGCCAAATGCTTACAGACACTGCTTCCCCACCCCTGTTCCCGTAGGAACTGTGCAGAATAGTGAAGAACTTTCTTTGAAAGTTTCCAGCCCCTTACCCTCTCTCACTGGCCTGGTGTCAGAGGAAATTTAAAGGAGATCAGGACATTCATCACCTCACAGTGGTGGTTTCTGGGGAAAGGTGATGAGACACTCATGCCACTGATAGTCAAGGTGCAATCCATGAAAGCCTCCTGGGGACACCCCCCCTCCCAGGTCTAGCAATTACCAGGAGCTCCTTCCTTCCATGGATGTCTATAAAGGCTTAGGGAGGAACCTGACCTTTGACCCCCACCCGGCAGGAATAAAGTGGCATTTCCTTTTACCCTGCCACAACCATACCAGAGGAAGACAGAGAACATGAAATGTTCAGATATGCTCGGGATTCCCATAACTTCAAAGCAAGAACCAGGAAAGTTCCAAAGTGAATGAAAAACAAACAAACAAAAAAACAATAGATGCTAATCAGGATGACAAGATGTAAGAATGTTCAGATGGTGTCCAGGAGCCATCGTAGCAATGCTCAATGAGCAAATGCAAGCAGGTTTGAAACAAATGAACAGTAGAAAACTTGAGGATATACAGAACGTTGCAACAAAGAAATGGAAGATACAAAAAGAGAACCAGATAGAAAATCCTAAACTGAGAAATGCACTAATTGAGGTGAGTATCTCCGTGGAAGGGTTCAACAGCAAAATAGAGGGGAGAGAGAAAAGAGTCCATGAACCTGAAGCTAGATCATAGAGATGACCCCATCTGAACTACAGAGAGAACATTGATTGGGGGCTGGGGTGGGGCTGGGAATGAGGAGAGCTTATAGAGCAAGCCGTTCCATTTTCTTAAATGAGCCAAAGACATGAACGGTTTACTAAAGAGGACACACAGATGGCAACTAAAATGTATCCCGAGCAGTGAATGCTGCGTTCCACCTCCAACAGTCTGAAAAATCGCTTCATTGGCATGTACGTCATATATCATACAATTTAATTTTTAATCATATCAAGAAGAGTTGTGCAGTTGTCACCACAATCAATTTCAGGACATTTTCTTCTCGTTCTCACTGTTGTTACTTCCCCCCTTTCGCCATAACCTCCCCAGCCATGCCCCTAGGCAAGTATTAATCCAGTTCCTGTCTCTATAGATTTATCTAGCCTGAGTACAGAAAGTCATACAAAACACAAGCAGGAACAAGAAAGCAAGTGCGCACACACACAGACCAAGGAACAATAATGCAGCAAAACAGAGAAAAACCTCACTGGAAAATAATGAAGAAACTATTAAAAATTGAAATAACTTTAAAATAAGTCAAACGGGAGGTGAAATGATCAAGCTGCTAACTTTGCAGTTAGTAGTCCAGTGCTTACTCAAGTCAACAGGGAGATCAAATGATCAAGTATTACACGTAAGCGAACTACACCTACCATTGCTCTCTTGGATACCACAGCTGTTCACATACTCGGACTATAGTCCGAGAGAACTCACTGGAGATTTAATCCCTGCAAGCAGCTTTAGGCTTCTTCGACATTTTTTTTTCAATTCAAACAAATTTCTTGTTTGTAGTCAGAACGTCTTGACTTGCCCCATCTCCTAATCTTGTGGAGAGTGGATCAAGGACTGAGGTAGACCTTTGTCTCAGATGTTTAAAAACATGTCTAATATCACTAACCATTCCCAAAGCCAAACACACTTCCATGGAGGTGACCCTAGAGGGTTTCTGAGACTGTAAATCTTTTTCGGACCAGATAGCTTCATCTTTCTCCTGCAGAGCAGCCTGTGGGTTTGCACTGCTGATCTTGTAGTTAGTGGTCCAGTGTTTACCTGACAGTACCACTGGGGCTCCTTTCATTGGCCCTTTGAGAGATGCCAACTCAGATCAAAATGAAATGCCACTGCGCACCTATTAGAATGGCTCAAAGTTGTGGCAACGCTAGCTAATGGTAAGGATGTAGTGAAACCAAATCACTTTTATATTATTATTGAAATGGAAAATGATAGATCATTTTTAAAAACAGCCTGGCTAGTTCTTAAAAAGCTGAACATGGTTTCAATGGCAAATATTAGAACAAACAGCTAAACATGCAGATGTCACGCAACCTGATATTTGCACATTTGATTAGTTATCTCAGAGAAACGAAGGTTTAGGTTGACCAAAAAGATTTGTACATGAATGTCATAACAGACGTATTCATAATAGCTCCCAAATTGGAGACGGCACAGATAATCCTTGAAGAATACACATGATGGATACTCCTTATCAATAAAAATAATAATCATTGTTACACAGCAACTGGGATGAATCTTCAGAGAATGATGCTATATGAACAGGAACAATCCCTAAAGGTTACATACTGTAAAATGACAGAATTAGAAGAAGAAAGATTAATGGTTCCCATGACCTGAAGCAAGAGCTCGGGGACTAGCTTAGGAAGGACAGGGTGTCCAGTATGAACCTGCAACACAGGAGATCTTTGCAGTAAAGGAATTGCTCTGTACCTTGACTGTATCACTCTCCTTATTGAGAGACCGTACTGCAGTTTTATGTTACTGTTAGTGGAAGGCGTTCTTGTGGGTCAGTGGTTACTTACTCAGCTGTGAACCAGAGGTAAGCAACTTGAACCCACTAGTGACTGTTCTGGAGAAAGATGTGAGTCTATTTTCATAAAAATTAAAAAACAACAAAATCCTCTGCCGTGGAGTCATTTTTGGCTCATAGCAACTCGATATCTGGTTTCCCAAAGCTCTAACTCTTTCCAAAAGCACATCACCTCATTTCTCTATTGAGGAGAAGGCTGGTAGCTTTGAACTGTTGACCTTCCAGTTAGCAGTGGAAAGCGTACCCAACAATTCCACCAAGATCACAGCCTTGGAAATCCTATGGGGCAGTTGTACTCTGTCCTGTACGGTCTTAATCAGTCTGGATAGATTCATGGGTACCCATATTCCTGGAACCTGGGTAAAGGGCATGTGGATGTTTACTCTTTGTTATAACTGAATGTGTATCTACAATTGAATTTAACAGAAAATTTTTTCTTTTAAATTATGCATAATCCTCCTAGAGATCATCATATAGGTCCTAGTAACAAGTTCTCTAGATTACCAGCAGGAGGGTTCTTGGACAGATTTCTTGACCCTCAGTTTTATCATCTGTCAAATGAACTAATAATTTTAATACTAATAAATTTCTTATAGATTACTGTAAGGATTTTAAGAAGTGGAATTTAGAGACAAAAAATAGTAAAGCAACCTTTGTAGGAGTGCCTACACAATCTACATTCACCAATAGATAACAATAGGGGTGGTTGTTACTGTATCTCCATTTTGTTTTGTTTCCTTCTACACAATTGAGATGACAAGTATATACATTTGCCCATACTGTCTTTTTCATTTAGGCTACTTTTTGTTGACAATAAGATTTTCACATAGAATATTCTTAGAGTGTTAATATATGTGTGTGCATATATATGTATATGTTATGCCTAAACTTCAAGAGTCCCTATAGTGTGCAAATGGTTAAGCCCTTGGCTGACTGAAAGGTTGGCAGTTCAAACACACCCAGAAGTGCCTCTGAAGAAAGCCAGGACAATCTGTTTCTGAAAGATCACAGCTTGGATATCCCTATGGAAAAGGGTTTTCTCCATGCATAGATTGGCCACATGGAGATACCCTGAGTTAATTTGGACTTCATGGCAACTAACAATAACTACTGAAACTTTAAAAGAGGAAAAACAAAATAAAAGAAAATAAATTTTTTCCCTAGCAAATTTCTTGGTTTTTGTTTTGGTATTTCACCAAAATCACTTGACTTGTAGTTTCTTGCCCTACTGACTTGGCTTGCACAAAGCCCTCTGGGGACTCAGACAAAACTTTGCTCCAGAGTCTTGATCTGCTGTGGAAGCACAGAAGCCGCATTCTTCCCATCCTTCTCTCAACCTTTGTAACATGACTGAAGGTCAATGTGCTGGGTAATGTTTCTGCCTACTCTCAAGCCTTCAACGACCCAAGTGTCTGCTGCAATATTTAGTCTGGAGGTAGACTGTACCCTTCAGAAAGCCGTTAGATGACACAGTGAGCTTCTCCAAGCATTTTTTGGGCCAGGGCCAATTTATCATAGGTAATTTTGGGTTGCCCATACTATGTCTAAGGCATCATTTAGGATGCTGTGAGTAATGACATGTATTAGGAGCTCTGAACCACTTGGGTGAATTGCGGTAGTTTCACACTGTCTTCAGAAGTCTTAGATAACACAGCGAGTGAACTAGCAGACACCTGTGAATTCCAGCATCCCGATAGAAGTCATTGGCAAATATAAAATAAATTGAAGTTTACTCCTCAGCAAATTTTTGTTCTCCACGATGTAGATAAGGGGCCTAACTTTGCGCTCACTGTGCAAAAATAAAAGTGGTGTTACATTTAGAGCTGATAGAAATGAGCTGACTATATTAGATAAGTAAAGATCCGAGTTAAGATCGTTCACGAGTCCTTTCATAAGTCCAGGCCTGGGCTCTGAGCTCTGCTCTGTGTCTGTCTGCTTTGGGAAAACACAAGAACTTTTGTTGAGGAGCAAACGTATGAGCGCGTTCTTCTGACTTTGAGCTTGTTGTTTGTGTGTGCTGCGGTTATTTTTTTCTCCTATAGCAACAAATTTCTCGTTTCTGTTTCTAATTTGCAGCCATAACACTAAAACAACATCTTGGCTAGACCCTCGGTGCCTGAGCAAGCAGCAGAAGCCTCTGGAAGAGTGTGAAGACGATGGTAAGGACCAAGGAAGGTATTGGGTTACTCAAGGAGGGGCCAGTTCTCGAGTATGAGGAGAGCGTTGCCAGGTTTTAAGGTTTCTGGAAGTTGAAATCCAAGAGTGAGTGTGTTGCAGATACAGCGACATCTGAAGAATTGTCAACAGAACAGCTCCTCGAAACAGCAAGGCAGAGGCCAATAAATATCTCCATCAAAACAGACCTTTGCACAGCCAGCAACTGTTGAGATGGGGAATTTGGAGAAGATGCTGAAAGTTCCTTAAGGAAACCGAAATTCTCTGGCCTCTTAATCTATTGACCCTTGATCCTATGTTATATAATTCTTAAGGGGGAAAATATCAAAGCACTTTTCTTGACCTCTGCATATTTCTTAATTCTTAAGATTTTTCCAGTATGAGGTAGATCTTGACTTGTTTGGTTTGGGAATCTATATAATTCAGAGAACACCCTAAATCTCTAAGAAGCAATCTAAACCCGCCCAGCTGCTCGATGAGAGAAGCACGGGAAGATCTGCTTTGCAAGATCACCACGAGCAGTCCCCACGGGGCCATTCTGCTTGTCGCTCGGGCCCTGTGAATCCAGACGGACTCAGGGGCGCCTGACAGCTACTGCGCACTTCTCTCCAAATGCCTTTCCAAACAGCTGCCATGTGATCCACAGCTCCACCCGGAACGGACTGTAAGGGTTACTGTTGCGAAAGTTTATGTCAAGAAATTAAAATTTCTAACTACTTCTCCAAAGTGGGAAAAAACCCAAAGACAAACTGTGTTCCTTTTCGGTACACCTTAATCTATCCACGTTCCACAGAAAGTACTGTTTTACAGAGATGAATTAGAAGGGAAATGGTTTGCTTTCCCACTAATTTTTCAATTCTGGCATTTGAATTAGTAGTATAATTATTGTATACATATTTTACTACAAGATAGATAACTTTATTAATAATGTGTACCATGGTACAGAATTATTGCATATATAAACTTGAGTTTTATTTCAAAATGCATGCTAGTATTTTAAAAGCATGATGCTATTGAGACTTTGTGCTCCAAGACCCTTCTGCGATGCATGGCTGTGAGCTACAGTCAATGAGTATAGAATTGCAGCGTTCCATTAGCAGATTGGCTGCAAGTGGCAACACAAAGCCTGCTGAGGTGGAAGGGATAACAGAAACATGTGTCATTGGGCTGTTTTGGTCCTAATTCTGAAGAACAGATATGGTCAGCACTCTTATTTTGAATTATGTGGGGCTAGTAGACTGTTCTGGCTATTAAAATAATCTTTAGTATATAGCATGAAAATGGCCAATTTCAAAAAGATCAGAACATACATAAAATACAATAAACTCTAAAATTCACAGAACAGAATGTAATCTATTTGGTGCCTGGTGATTTTTAAAGACAATTTAGGTTCTCTTAATAACTTAAGGTCTTCAATGTCAGTATTCATTCTACTTACACTGAGAAGGCACGGAAATGCCTATTAATGTAATTGTGTAGATGATCGAAAACTACAGTAGCTTTTACTGAGAAAAACTGTGAGTGGAATTTAAAAACCTTGTGTGGAATCACTTGAGGTTTTTCTTATGAAATCCAGTAATTTTTAGCGCTTAGAATTCTTGGCATTTCTGCTCATGTTATTCCACTAGAATAAGTATGTATTCTGTGAGAAGAGGAATGCCAATCGCAGTCAGTTTTGTAGTTGTCTCTCTAACACGAGGACTTACATGTTCTGTTTCTCTGAGAAATCACATGTGCATGTCTCTTGGAATATAAGCAGTCTCACTATCAAGCCAGTCTGCACCCCTCTATGACAGGATCAGTTCACATGCCTGCTTTCCCTGTGAAATTAAACAAAGCTTTCTTCTGTCATTTTTATACCATGGTAAAATATCGAATAGTGTTATTGGTCACAATATTGTTCTTGTGTTTCTGTGTATTCTCTGTAGACCAATAGACACCTGAAATGTAATCATGCGGCCATCATACTCATTATTATAACGGCTTTCTACTTTCTATTTCCTATTTGAAAAATGAAGAACCAGTTTGAGATTTGGGTTTTCAGTGTAGAACTCGTTTTGTCGTTATTACATATCTGTTCTGATTAAAGGCCTTTAATCTTGCCTGCAATCTCCAAGCCAATATTTTAGTCTGTTGTGTTGTCTCAAAGACACTTCAAATTCAATCTGATTAAAAGCAAATTAATGATTCTTTCCTCCTCAAAACCGATTTATCTCCAAGTGTTCCCTTTTTCATGTTCCCAGTTGACACTAAATTCATATTTACTGAAGGAGTCTGATGAGCCGTAGTGATGTAGTGGTAAATGTTAAACTGATAATCACAAAGTCAACAGTTCAAAGCCCCCAGCTGCTCCTTGAGAGAAAGGTGAGGCTTTCTACTCCAGTAAAGAGTTACAATCTTGGAAAGTGCAGGGACAGTTCTACCTTGCCCTATAGGGTCACTCTGAGTCTAAATCTACTCGATAGCACTGAGTTGAGTTTTTAAGGGTCCCCTTTGATCTGTCACCTGTCTTCATACCCATTCCTAACCATCAAGAACCAAATTCATTTTACCTCCTAAATAGGGAACCATTTTACCTCCTAAAAGTGGAACCAGTCCACTTTTTTCTCATGATGTTTACCAGGCGAGTCCAGATCACACTCATCCCTCCTTTGGACTTTTGCCCACTCTCATTTTTTTTTTTAACACTGATACCAAGCAATGGTTTTGAAATGTAAATGGGATTCTATGAGCCCTGGTCACCCCCATAAATCCCACGGATCTCTGGTCTGCTCAGCCTGAGTGCCAAGTCTTTCAGTTGCCTCTAAGCCCTGTGTGGTCTGGCCTCTTTCCCCCACTCTCACTGGGCTCTACACCCCCACCCATCTTCCCTGAGATGAGTCGTTCCTGCCGAGAACACTCTTCTCTTTCCCAGTTAGTGGCCCGATGCCTTCTTTGTATCGAGTATGTTCTCAGCGCTTCAGATGCCTCAGTGAAGACCGGTGGACAGGAAGCTCTGCCATTTTAATCAGTTCCCTCCAAAAAACTTTTGGATATGTTGTATATCTCCTTCAGAATATGATAAATCAGGGACGTTTCCCCCTTCCTTGCCTTTAGATATGGCTAGATCATTTTACTATATGTTATAATCTAGCGAATGATTCACAGTTTATTTAGGGTTATTTATGTGAGTTTTGGACCTTCTCCATCTGATCTTGCCCATTTTTCAATCTGTACGGATCACAGTGATTGGTACATAGCAGATCTCAATTAAATATATATATATATATGTATATAGAAGAAAAAAACTCCCAAAATGTTATTAAGTAAAAGTCTAATGGGCCACTTCATGAAAAATTATATGCAAGTCAGATTTCTTTGATAAGAAGCAGGGCTCATTTCAAAACTTACTATTTGCAATTGGATACTATTTAACTCAAGAATTTAAAGGGTGTGTATATGTGGCCATTTTGGTTACCAAAGGCAAAGATTGATGGATTCATTCATTTGCTAAAAGTTCAGCGAATACTAATCAAGTCTCAGGCAAAGCAGTGAGCACTGGATATTCAGCAATAGCGAAAAATAGTCCTAATCCTTGAGATTGTGGAGTTTATGTGACAGTGACTTGCTCTGTAGTTGGGAGAAGCTTTTTTGTATTTATTGTGTCCTGTCCAGTATTCTCTTTGAAGGGATAATTTAATATCTTACTGACAGTGGAAAGAAGCTGAAAATGGAAAGGATATTGACTTGGCTTGCTCACCAAAGTCATTGATAATATTCTCATTCAAATACTTTTGAGCTGTTTCATTTAAAAGTCGAATGCCAAAATGAAACCCACTTCCATTCAAGTCAATTCTGACTCATGACAACCCTATAGGACATGATAGACCTGCCCCTATTTGCTTCCCAGACTATAACTCTTCACGGGGGTAGAAAACCAATACAGAATCAGTCAGTTCTGCCTCCCGCTGCGCCTTCAGGGCAGTCCTTGTTGGAATTCACCCATGACCTTGATAAACATCACCAGGACATAAGTTCATCTTTCTAGTATCCTTTTGTTTTCATTTGTTCTTATTAAAAGATCATTTGATTGGGGGCTCTTTACAGCTCTTATAACAATTCCTTCCTCAATTGTATCAAGCATGTTTGTACATATGTTGCCATCATTATTTTCTGGACATTTACTTTTTATTGTCTAGCTCCTTTTGAAATACATCGAAGTGCCTTCCTTTAATGGCGCACATTTCAATTTAACCTCCCTTGCTGGAGTGTAGTGGGTTACACATTAGGCTGCTAGCTAAAAGGTCAGCAGTTTGAAACTACCAGCTGCACTATGGGAGAAAAATGAAGGTTTCAGACCTACAGGGCAGCTCTACCCTGCCCTATCAGTTCACTGTGAGTCAACATCGACTTGAAGGCAATGGGTTTGTTGTTGTTGTTGTTGTTGTTTTGGTTCCATTCTTCAGGCAGCAGAATCAGTTCTACATTAAATAATGCTTTAATTGTGAGTATAATTGCCTCACTGATTAGAGGATTATTGAAGAAGGTAAAAGAACTAATATTGAGAAGCTTAAGAGCTCTGTTTGCTTGAAATAGGTTTATCATAAATGACTTCCCACTTAAGAATCTTGAAACCACAAAGGTATTTGTCATCTTTTACCACCAATCAAACCTTCTTTTGATATGCAAGGAAATGAGCCCTATAATTATTTTGCCAATACTAGCTCTTACCATGTTGTGATTTACACTGAGGTCACAAATTTACTAACCATGGCAGTGAACTAAGCCACAATGCAGGTAAGGACAAATGAAAGTGATGTGTTTGCTGCTTTGTGTCTGTGGGGAATTTCTTCCTTGGTGCGGGTGTCTGAATGTCTCTCTCTTTTCTGTCTCATTCCTGCTCTTCCTTTGGAGAAGAAGGGGTACACACCGAGGAGCTGGACAGTGAACTAGGTAAACCTCCCAGCTGCTGCCGCATGACTTGCTCTGCATGGATTTGTCTTCAGTGAATTGCTTACTCCCTCTTTCTCCTTAGTTTGCGCTTCTCCAATTATGCTCGTCATTCCAGCCCGTTTACGAAAGGTCAACCTTAAGACCCAGGTGTCCGACAGCAGGCAGCACGCAGAATTGTAATGAATTGTATCTCCCAAGAAGTGTGCGTGACTTGAGCCCAAAAGAGAGCAAATGAACAATAATAGGTGGTTTTACAAATGAGGGTTAGATCAGAATTGAGGACAGGCTTGCGGTGTCCCTACAACTTTCCTTATTTGTCCCTAATTTCCCTATGTGCCTAGTATTTGACACTTGTCTAGATGGGTGATACCCAAAACAACAACAACAAATAACGAAGGAAAACCAACCAAAAGATTAAAGGCAGGATTATTGTAGTAGTCGCAATAATAGAGTCATTCCAATAGTTACTAATGCTTGCTGTGGTGGTGCTTGGAAGGCATGTGTTCCAGGTGTTGCCTTGCCACTATTTTGACTGGCTTGAGAAGTGGATACTGTGCTGCTTTGTGACATTTTGCTTAGGGCGTGTGTGTGAATATAAATCAAGTATTGACTACTCGAATTATTGCAGTTCTGAAGTAATTTACATTACCAGATAACGCCAGACTCTTTTATCTTTCCTGTTGGAATATATTGAATTATGTTTCCTGATAAATTAGCTGCTTTATGTTCAACTTGGAGCAATATTAAAATTAATTTGCATTCCATCTGATGCAAATTGAGGGCTAGATGGAGAAGTGCAAGTTTCCGCTGAATTCAGATGAGAGCCTTGGCTGGTTGACCATAGTATTTATGTTAAATAGGAGATCATCGCTATGAATAGAATGGTCCTAAAATTATTGACTTTGCCTATTTTGAGATTCCCTTAAGAACTGAAAATCTGAATGTATTTTAATTCCGATTCTTGTTTTCATTTTTATGTAGATAATCACAATGGACTGAGTCGGAACATGATAGAATTGAGCTCGTTTTTTCTTAAAGTTTACAACATATCCTACTATAATTGAAGGCTATGATAGCACGATGGTCAGTAACTATTGACTGATTGCTTTTAAAGATATTTTACAAGTTGTCGTTATGGTCCTTGTAAAAATGACTTACGTTTTACCCGACACAGTAGCTCAATTTGAGACCGGTTTTATTAGGAAAGCATCCATATCAGTTCAGTGATATTAGGCAAGTAATCAAAATAGACACCATTTGGTTTTCCAAACACACAATGAATGGCGTGTTCATTTTGTTAAACCACTTTAAACTAGTCTTTTTTTAAAATTAAATACTTTTATCGGGGTTCGTGCATCTCTTATCACAATCCATACATTCATCCATTGTGTCAAGCACATTTAAACTAGTCTTGACATGTGAATCATGTGTGCAGGTGACCCTGTGCCTGTTAGTGGCTCGTGGAGGGACGCCACTTACTCATGAATGCAGCCTTATGAAAGAGGCAATGTTGAAAGGGTGGGGAAAGCATCTGTATTGTTTCCCTTGTAACTGTCAACTGGGAAACATTCCTTTGCTGCCAGAGACTCTAAAACAAATGAGTTTTAAAGGCCACACCAGATCCCTCCTCAATGCCATAGCCATTGGTTGGATGAGTGAAGTTATCTCTGAGGTTGTATCAGGTTGCCTGGCTTTAAAGCCTGTCTTTCCCACTTAATAGTTCTATGTCTTTAGGCAAGTTATCTGATCTCTCTTAGCTTTGCTTTCTTTATTTACAGAGGCTAGCCAGAACAGTAGTTCCTGTGATACTTTTGGGGAGATTGAATGAGTGTCTTAATATCCGTCCTTGTAACTACTATGTTATTGTTATTACTGGTTTTAATACTTATCAATTCATACCCTCTTAATGGAATTTCAGGGCTCCCCTGCTCTCCTGTTTTCCCTCTAATACAGGAAAGGAAGAATCTATTCCATGCTATAGAAATATCTCAAATGTGTTAACTAAGTAGGATAGAGATATGACCCTTCAGTTTTGCCTACACATGGCTATCACATACCCAGTGGCTCCCATAGAAATATACTATCTGTGTTAGACAGGGTTCTCTAGAGAGATAAAACCAAATTCCTGATAATATATTTATTTATAAAGATAATTAGATATATAATGAGGAATGAACTGTTAAATCATATACAGATAAATATACAATACAAGAAATAAACAGTTAAATTAAAAAGCACTATAAATGGCTTAGTGCAACTCAAATCCATGAGAGAAAGTTGAGAGACTAGTAGTCCTTCAAGTCTCTGTCTGATGCCAGATCTTCCTCTATTTGTAGAGAGAGCTAGGCTATGTCAGCACAGCAGCTAATCATAAGGCAGGTCACCAACTGCCAGTCCCCAGCTCCAGAGAAGTCTTAAAGGGACCTCAACTTATAGCAACACAGTTCACAGGCTAGGCGTCCCACATGCAGTGTAGCCTTTAAATTGAGGCACAGAACAAGCAAGGCAGCCGCACACTGGTCCGATGATCACAGAGCGAGAGACAAGAAAGGCAAGGCTCACCAAGCGATCCATCTCTCCGCCCCTCAGTCAATCCCACCTACGTTTATCAGCCAGGCTGGCACCATAAACTGTCTCACTATCTTTCCGTTGCATCATTCTTACATTCTCTTGGAAAGCTTGTAGGCCATTTTCTTAATAGGAAGGTCTTAATTTCAAACAATAGAAACTTCAGATTTTCTGTGAACAAGGCAATTCCAGATGTGACAGCAAAACCCACTCTATCATCTCTCTGAGAGGTGTGGGTGGTTGGCTTGGGTGTTGGACACAGAGCATTTGATCGTAGAGTTGTCATTTCTGAGCTGTGTTGTTTGAGCTGGGTCAGTAGCTCTGCGTTGCCCTTTTGGTCTGCCCTGCATCGAGAAGCACTGGCACAGCCTCCTTCTGGGATCACAGAACGCGGATGCGGTGGGACCAGTGAGCAGAGGTAAACGCAGGGCAGAGTTCCCCTCCCAACTGAAACGAAGCCGCCATCTTCAAGCTCTACTCTAATCTCGTTGTGTGACTGTTGGCACAAATCTGTGGGCTGACAAATCTCTTTTGAAAAGTATTGAGAACACTTGACTGCTCGCTTTTTGCTTCTGTGGTGACAGAATAATACAGCCTGAGATTTTGGGGTTTCAGGAGGAGTGAACATACAGGCCATATAAATCTGCCTTATGCCTTCTGCCCTTTTAACCATTGCCATTTCTGGCAAATGCTTCTATGTGTTGGGTGCTGCACGTATGTTTTAGAGCATCCTCATTTTACTCACACCTGACCTTTGAGGAAAATCAACGTGGTAGATGTGCTTCAGAGAACCCGTGCCACAAAGTGAGCCAAGGCTTAATCCCAGACCTTGGCAACCCCCAAAATGATTCTTATTTATCTTACTGCCATCTGGTGGTTTCCAACCCATGGCAACGCTGTAGGGCACGGTAGAACTAACCTTGTGGGTTTCTGAGAATGTAGTGTTTCTATAAGAGCACAAAGCCTCCACTTTCTCCAGTGGGGCGACTGGTGGTCTTGAACTGCTGACCTTGTGGTTAGCAGCCCTGTGTGTAACCACTATGCCACCAGGGCTCCTAAAAGAGTTCTGGTCACCAGTAATATCAGTGATATTTTTGTCTATTGCCTAGAATTAGGAAAGTGGCTTTTCAGTTGACTTCAGAGACTTTAGTAAACAAAATGCTCATATAATGAATGACACTCCGGAGCCCGGGGAACACAGCAGTCACTCCTGGTTAACCCACTAGCCACTCTGCAGGAAAAGGAAAACATATCAGTCTAGCTCTGTAGAGGTGATAGTCTGGGAAGCCTATGGGGCCGGTCCACACTGTCCTACAGAACCACTATGAATTGGAATCCACTTGGCAGCAATGGGTTAATTATTTCCTAGGCTTAAGTTTTTTCTCCCATTTTGGTTTTGTTTTTTTTTTAGAACTAAATGGCAAATTCTAGGACAAACATCTTTTTAAAATTGATGACCTACTTCTATTTTAAGCATTAGGAGGCTAATTCCTATTATTAAGATAATCACCACATTGGAAATAAGGAATCTATCTTTCCCACTGAAAGTGAGCGTTAACTTGAAATTTCAACTGGAAATTTTTTGGAGTTTACTAATCTCTTGCAGAAGATGGAAATGTTAAAATCTACAAAGGTCTTCAGAAATACCAGTTGACCGGTTCCATTTTCCAATTCTAGAATTGTAACTTATGATCTACATACCTGAAAACAGCTCAATGGCAATTTTCTTGTGTGCACCCTCCATGCATATACCACAGAGCACTCACCTTGAGTCGTTTAAAAGTCGCTTTGGACAGTGATCTCTGAGTGTCTTTGTGTCCCGGTGCCGAACACACTCTTGGGCAAAGAATACTAGTGTTGTGTGCCGTCCTGTCAATTCCAACTCATCGCGAGCTGTCTGTACCACAGAACGAAACACTTCCTGATCTTGGCCCACCCTCACAATGGCTGCTGTGCTTCAGCCCGAACAGTTGCAGCCCCGGGGTCCGTCCATCTCCAGGATACTTGTCCCCTCTTTCTTGTCCCCTCTACTCGACCACGCGGATGTTGTTCTCCAGAGGCTGGTCCTTCAGGAAAAGCTTTTCAAGTTAATCATTGAGGAAATCACCTCTCCATATTGCCCCTGTTTCACCTAGAGATGATCAAGGAAATAGTTAGACAGCAGGAGGTTGGGTTCTCTTAGATGCGAGGTGGCTCCCTCACAGTCACCCACTCTTTCCCCAGATGCCTGAACCCACAGAGGACTGTGAACAACAACAACATTTTAATGTTCAATTTCACAACCGTTGGAAATATTTTCCTGGTTTACTTCATTTAAGTGATAATTTCCAGCTTTCAAATGGGAAACTTTTACAGGCATTTGACTTGCTTTGGTCCCTAGCCCTCAGTGTATTAAAGGGACAGGTTGTATCAACCTCTGCAAATTGGACTTGTAGCTTGTCTCCCAGAATCCAAATAGTTTCTCTGTGTCCCAGTGCCCAACTCACTTTTAGGCAAAGAATGCTATTGTGTGCCTTCAAGTCAATTCCACCTTCTAGGTGTTTTTGTTTGTTTGTTTGTTTTTTGTTGTGTTTTTAAATTGCAGAAAAGAGGGGGAAACCTCTTTCATTGTTTGCAAACAAGGACCGTGTAGAGGAAAAACCATGAAACTTGAACAAAACACAAACTTGGAGGAACTAGTTTGTGTGAGTTGGTGTGTCTGTTTCAATCTGGAGCTGTGTGTGGCATCTGTTGAGTCTTGTGAGCTGCTGAAATGGTCATTATTTGAACCTGGTGACCACATGAATCTTTGATTTATAAAAGAATCTAGCAACTTAAAAAAATAAGTTATATTTTAAGTGTTTGTCCCATTTCTGTTAAGTTGGGCTTAGAGGCTACTTCTAGGAATAATAATTGATTTTAGAACATGGCAAAGTCCAAGTTGGCCTTAATTCCATATCTGAGAAGCCTTCAAAAAGTTCATGGAAAAATCCCATGATCTTTCCATTCCATTTGTCCATGACCTTGTTGAAGATCCCTGTCATAGAAAGGAGACATTTACATTAAATTGCACGTACTTCGGACATGTCCCTGGAGAAGGACATTGTGTCTGTTTATAAAGTGGCACAGCGAGAAGAAAGAGATGGACTGGCACAGTGGCTGTACCGATGGGCTCAAACATTGGAAGAATTGTGAGGCTGGCACAGAACCGGGCAGTGTTTCCTTCTGTTTCACGTAGGGTCACTATGAGTTGAGACCGACTGGATGGCATCTAACAACAATAACAGGTGCTGCTGTGCCAGAAAGGACTACTTAATGACACGGTGCCCATCCTTTTTTTTTTTTAATCAACTACAGTAACCTACTGCATTATTGCTGCAACAGAACTCCCTGTTTGTTACCTGGATATGTTCCTAGCCTATTGTAGGAAACCTTACAAAATAGAAGTCCAACAGAAGCATGGTTGAGTTTCTAGAAAGGCATGTGCATATCCCACTGCCCTTCTAGCAAAGCCAGGCGCCGTGAGAGCAGAAGCTGTGCCTGCTAGGGCCAAGGGGCTGGGCTGGGCGATATGAGTCCTGATGGAGCCATGCATTTCCAAGTCCACCACCACATAGACATGCCCATTGACTAGAAGCCAGGAGGAAGTTGGGTGCAAAATTGACCCGTTCCATGGTGAGCAAAGCACCACTGTTGTATTAAAAATGAAAAGAAACGTTCTTTTCCATCCTCAAGTTATTTATTTCTGATTGTTTAGTAAGGTTGGCAAGAAAGAAAATGAGAAACTATAAATATTTAAAAATAGGAACGAGGCATTTCAAGGTGAATTTTAACGCAATTTCCATTAAAACCTAATTTAATAGTTGACTTAGAATGAAGGTATCAGGAGCTACATTTTGCTTTCTTGCATAAAATAATAGATCGAGCATTGCTCTCCACAGAGGAAAACGCTATTTGGCTGAATAAAAATAACACACATTTTTGTTGTTGTTGTTAGTATACACATTTCTATTTGGCTCTACGTCCTTTTCTTTTCACAAGTCTTTATACATAGCTCTGTTTTAGGAAACTCACAGGCTCAGGGGCACTCCACACTTCTTGTTCTAAATATAGTTTTGTTTTTCAGAACTGCCAGCTGGTTGGGAAAAGATTGAAGACCCTGTCTATGGTATCTACTATGTAGAGTAAGTACTCCTGAGCAGCCAAATGTTTGTAATTTCTCTGTAACTATGCACATCTATGCTGTACAGGGTTTATGATCCCCATAAAGTATTGATGCTAAATAACAGTAAGAATAGCAATGTAGTATTACCTTAATGGGTGGGGGGCGTTGGTGGTTCTAGGGTAGAGTCCCACATTCCAGGTAGGAAACCCGAGTTAGATTCCTGGCCATTGCTCCTCAGATGCAGGCTCCCCCAGTCTGCCAGTGGAAGCTGTGTGTGGTGGTGATGGAGAGCAGAGGACCAGGCAGGGCTCATCCCACTGTGTGTGCCATCTCTACAACTTCATGGCAGCAAAGAACAACAGCAACAAGATTCATTCTTTCATGGGGAAAAAGTATATATTAAAATGTATATTCAGGAACTCTGAGGATAGCAAATTCATGACGGACAGATTGGCATCTATTTTGTTTGCCACTGTTTTACCAAGGTATATGGCAGCTTCTTAAAAGTATTAGTTGAATAAATGAATGGATGAGAAAACCCAAAGTTCACTAGAACAAGCGAGTAGGGTGTGTTTCTCTTCAGGAGGAAACCCATTTGACCTACTTTTTCCCTGCGCAAGCCTGAACTTCTTATATTTACTTATTTATCCATTTGGCAATTCTAAGAGGATCAGGAAGATTGGAATCATGTATGAATTGTTATCAACATTAAGAAGTTGTAAGAGTTTTCATGCCTTCTTACAAGCTGCCTAACTGCAACGTCAGCAGTTCAAACCCACCAGCCACACCGAAAGATGAGGCTATCTGCTCCCATAAAGAGTTATAGCCTCAGCAACCCTATATGAGAAGGTCCCTGTGAGTCAGAATCGACTTAACAGCAGTGGGTGTGAGTACACTTCCCTTGCCTGTGGTTGATGCCTGACACCATCAAGCCCTCTTTCCCGTGTGCCTCTGTCTGGCATTGCAATGGCCTGCAGCTCATTGTTTCATCAGAACTCCAGGCGAGAGTTCTCACCTTCCTGTGGAAGAACTTGATTTGTCACCAGCCAGTTCACCTCACATGCAGCCAACACCCAACCGTCAGTGGAAACTTGCACGTTGCTATGATACTGAACAGGTTAAGGGGAGTTTCTAGACTAAGCCTGTCTGGAAGAAAGACCAGTTGATCTACTTCTGACAATCAGCCCCAGAAAACCCTATAGATCCTATGACTTGCTTCCCATAGTGTGTGAGGTCACCCTCAGTCCAGGGCCAATGTGACAGCAGGTAACTGCATCAGCAGTCTATTGATAGAGTGATGTTGCAAGAAAAAAACCCTGAAAAACTGAAGAGGTGAAACATTGGAAACCATATATGATTTCCTCTGAGAAAGATGAGAAACAACTAATGTCCTTTGACAGAAAAAGATGCTACGTGATTATTCTTTGTCCATAATCACACCTGGCACAACGAAGCTAACGGGGCTGCTTCTTCTCACCCATGCAGTAGAAATGAAGAGGCACTCGCTTCATACCCGGCTGATGTGAACATGTGATACCAAAATGCAGTGCACATAAAATGCTCCACATCTTACTGTAAAAAAGAATGAGTTCTATACAGCAGGCATCCTTGGCCAATACTAACATTGCTTCCTCTGTGCATAGCAAGGATTGGTGGTCTGGGGCCTCCACGGGGAAGGCTCAGTCATTTCTCTCACCTCCACGAGAGACATTTCCATCATGATCCACAGATCGCTCTTCTCAGAGGGGTCTGGCCTCTTTGGGGTATATCTTGAGTTCTCTCTCAGCTATTTTGTGCATCAGGAGGAGGAAGGAATAAGTGATACCAATTTTGCTAGGTGAAGTGGCATGGCAGGCTGGGCAAGGTCTTATCTTACTCCATGAGGGGGTACCCCTCTCCCAAAACAGAAAAAAGCTCTGCTGGGCAGAGCATTTATCGTATGCATTTTTTCCACTGGGTGAGCATCAAGAACTGCGTTCTGAGTTAGTGCACCCAGCGCCGTCACCTGGGAAGGTTCTCTCTGGTCACAGTGAATTTTTTTCATAAAAGAAGTTTTGCTTGAACCTTGTATTTTGTAATGGCCAATTTAAGAGAGCAGTGTGCAGCTGTGAAATTTTGTTTCCTGCTTGGGAAAAATAAAACAGAAACGGTTGTGATGTTGAACACAGCTTACAAGGACAGCGTTACAAGGGAAAAACTCAAGTGTGTCAGTGGTTTTCTCATTTCAAAAAGGTGAAATGTCGGTTGATGACAAACCTCATCCTGAACGTCTATTAACTTCTTGAAAGGATGAAAATGTTGACTTGTAGTGCATTTGGAGTTCATTACACCAGGTTAGACTGTTAACAAGCTTTCTATTTAGAGGTTCTGAAAAGATAGCATAAGAGTGTGTGACAAAAAAGACCTTATTTGTGGCAGATGGGGCACTGGTTTTGCCACCACAACAATTAACCTGCTAATGCAGCCATCTCAGTGAGACAATTTTTGGCCAAAAACAGCATGCCTCTCTTGCCAAATGCACATGACTCAGCAGACCTTGTTCAGTACAACTTCTTTTTGTTTCCACGAATGAAGTGGTACATGAAAGGACAGATTTCAAAAAGTAGAAGAGGTGAAGAAAGAACAAGGAGGGTGCTGTCAGCCATCCAAACAGATAAGTTTGAAAAATGTTTGTAAAATTGGAATCTCAGATTTGACAGATGTATTATGTGTAATGGAGAGTACTTTGAAGGTTTTGTATGAAAAATAATAACCTTAAATACATAGCTTTGGGGGTAAAAAATTCTGGGTTTCTTTGGGAATACACACACATATGTATATATTTATTACTGCAACTTGTTTACATGCATATGTATGTACATGTATGGTATGCTGTATATGTGTATATAAATATACAGTGAAATCCATGATACCATGACAGCCAGAACTCAATGAGACTGCCCCATTTGTTTTTGTGGGTCTCACAAGTTGCCCACCTTTGACAGGGTGAAGTCTGACCAATTTTCTGTCACTCTCTATGCGTGAAAAAAGGTTGGCGTGTTCTTTTCCTGATAGGTTTCTGCCCTACAGGTTTACAGGTCTCTACTTTCTTGGGTCTTACTGGTATATATGCAAACACATGTTATGGTATACATATAAGGTGCATTGTGTATGTACACACATATAATGTATATGCATTCGTAAATACAGTGAAACCTAGGAGAGCCGGAATACAAGGACTGCCTTTAAGAGTCCTCCCTGACAAACATCCACTGAGTTCTCTTTCTTGACAGTTTTCTGCTTTACATAAGCCCCAGCTTTCCCAGTTTTACTATATGTATATGTGTTTCATTTTTCTGTGGATTTATTTGGAAGCCCTGGTGGTGTTGTGGAATAAGCATTGCTAACTTTAGGGACAATGGTTCAAATCCACGAGACACTCTGTGGGAGAAAGATGAGGCTGTCTTCTCCTGTAAAGATTGACAGCCTTGGAATCATGTTATGGGGTTGGTATGAGTTGTAATCAACCCAGTGGCAGTGGTTCTGGTTCGTTGGGTTTTGTGGGTCTGTTGATTAAACAGCTGTCAGATGGTAGTGGAACCCGTTAATGTAATGGTATGGCTGAATGCATGTGCCACTGTGAAACCTGTTGTAGGAAAGTTGCATGGTTCTAAAATCATGTTATAGACAATGTCGTATCTCTATTAAAGTCTCCACTAATTTCATTTTTCAATAATCCTGTAACCCATGTCTTAATGAATTCAAAACTTCCCGTCAGGTGCAACCTTGCACACTTACAGAAAGTTGACAGTTAAATTCCTGGGATTTGAAACAGACCAAGCTGAGCATGCTTGTCTTTCTAGTGCTTGCTAGCTGTGATATGTTAGAAGAATTATTACCTAACTGCTCCAAAATTTACTTTCCTTATCCATAATATATGAATAGAAATAGGACCTGTCTCGTGGCATTTACTGAGGACTTTTGAGATCTAATGCCTGCAAACAGGTAGCACCATGAGCAGTCAGTATACGGAAGGTATTATTTTTATTTCCTCTCCTTAACTGCACATTGTGACAGAAGATGGCAAACATTTCAGACCACCAGTGTTGTTCATTTCTAATCACAGGACTTGGCGTGGCTGGCATTTCACTTGTGGGATGAAAGGTGTCCAAACTGAATATATTATTTGCCTTCCTCCCCAGCCACATCAACAGGAAGACGCAGTATGAGAATCCTGTTCTGGAAGCCAAACGGAAGAAGCAGTTGGAGCAGCAGCAGCAGCAGCAGCAGCCAGAAGGTTGGCTTTCCCCGCAGCGCTCTGAATGCTCGGGCTGGGTGCTGACACCCCCGTGTGGCCAGAGCTGGGCTTGAGGTGGTACAGCCTGAGGCGGCGCCTGGATGCCCAGAGAGGAGAAATGCACTGCTTCCGCTTCCGGGAGTGCCCCCTGGAGTTTCACAACACCTAAATTGGGGGGCTCAGTTCAAAGACACCCGAATTTCCATTTTAATTCAGAAAGTGGGGATTTTAAAAATTATAGTAAATTTATTTAAATTAATATTGAAATCACATAAGAACATGTTTATTTATTTTTTGCTTAAAATCTGAGTTTCTCAGTGCTAATACAAAAGAAATACCGCAAATGTGGCTTTAATGAGCACAGATTTATTTTCCTGTTTAAGGTGCCTATTGTTATCAAGTCAGTTCTGACTCCTACGAACATTATAGAGCAATAGAACTGCCCCTGTTGAGTTTCTGAGGCTATACATCTTTTTTTGTCGTTGTTTTAATCATTTTACTGGGGGCTCTGACAACTCTTACCACAATTCATCCATCCATCCATTGTGTTGAGCACATTTGTACATATGTTGCCAACATCATTTTCAAAACATTTTCTTTCTTCTTGAGCCCTTGATATCAGCTAATTCCCCCCACTCTCCCATCCTCCCTCCCTCAGGAACCCTTGATAATTTATAAATTACAATTTTTTTTCATGTCTTGTACCATCTGCTGTCTCCCTTCACCCACTTTTCTTTTGTCCGTCCCCCTGGGAGGGGATTTTATGTCGATCATTGTGATCAGTTCCCCTTTTCTTCCCCAACCTTCCCTTTACCCTCCTGGTATCACTACTCTCATTATTGATCCTGAGGGGTTTATCCGTCCTGGATTCCCTGTGTTTCTAGCTCTTATTTGTACCTGGGTACATGCTCTGAAGTAGCCGGATTTGTAAGGAGAATTGGGGTCATGCATGTGGGGGGAGGGCATTCAAGAACTTGAGGAAAGTTCTGTTTCATTGGTGCTACACTGTACCCTGACTGGTTCGTCTCTTCTGTGAGGGGGTATCCAATTGTCTACACATGGACTTTGGGTCTTCACTCTGCCTTCCCCCTCATTCACATCAATACGAATTTTTGTTCTGAGTCTTTGATGCTCGATACCTGATCCAATCGACCCTTCATGATCACACAGGCTGGTGTGCTTCTTCCATGTGGGCTTTCATGCTTCTGAGCTAGATGGCCGCTTGTTTACCTTCAATCCTCTAAGACCTCAGATGCTATATCTTTTGATAGCCAGCATCACCAGCTTTCTTCACCACATTTGTGTATGCACCCATTTTGTCTTCAGCTATCTTATCGAGAAGATGAGCATCACAGAATACCAGTTATTAAAACAGAGTATTCTTGTGTTGAGGGAGTACTTGAGTAGAGGCCCAATGTCTGTCTGCTACCTTAATACTTAACATATAAATATATGTACATAGATCTATGTCCCCATCGTCATATATAAATATATTTACATATGTACATACCTCTGTAAATGCCCTTTGCCTCCTAGTTCTTTCCTCTGTCTCCTTTTACTTAACTCTTGTCCCCAAATTGGGGGTTTTCAGCTTTATTTCTTTCATTGGACTGCAGGATGAGCTGATGGAGAAAGATCTCTCTTGTCTCAGCAGCCCTTGCACAGGTACCTGTATTGTACTGCCCATGAACTTGATTTCGCTTTCAGGAGCATTGCATGTAAGAGCCAGGGAAAGCTGGTGGTTTTTTATCATGTTTTCCAACTGACATATGGATTTACCCTCCACACACACACACACACACACACACACACACACACACACACACACACATATGAACATGAAGTTCTTCCCTGCTTTCTCAATTCGCTTCTCATGTGGACAGTTTCTAGGATTACAGGGGTATGTATATTATAATAAAAATAAGATCATACTACAATTGTTAGTCTGTGACCTGCTTTTTTAGCTTAAAATGCATTCCTAGCACATACTCTTATGTTGGTTGTTAGATTTACCTTATGATTTTTAATGACTGTAGGTAATGATCTGTTTTATAAATGCCTCAGCTTCAGTTACCCATATGTTAATAAACACCATAAAGTTTTCACTGTGGTCTTTTTTTAAATCATTTTATTAGGGGCTCATACAACTCTTATCACAACCCATACGTGTATCAATTGTGTCAAGCACATTTGTATATATGTTGCCATCATCATTCTCAAAACACCTGCTTTCTACTTGAGCCCTTGGTATCAGCTCCTCATTTTTTTCTCCTTCCTCCCCACTCCCCCCTTCCCCCTGAACCCTTGATAATTTATAAATTATTCTTATTTTGTCATATCTTACACCATCCGACGTCTCCCTCACCCACTTCTCCGCTGTCCATCCCCCAGGGAGGAGGCTATATGCAGACCTTGTAATCTGTTCCCCCTTTCTCCCTCACCTTCCCTCCACCCTTCCAATATCGCCACTCTCACCACTGGTCCTGAGGAGTTCATCTGTCCTGGACGCCCTGTATTTCCAGTTCCTATCTGTGCCAGTGTATATCCTCCGGTCCAGCCAGATATGTAAAGTAGAGTTTGGATCATGATAGTTGGGGGAAGAAGCATTCAGGAACTAGATGAAAAGTGTATATTTCATCGTTGCTACACTGCACCCTGACTGGCTTGTCTCCTCCCCACAGCTCTTCTGCAAGGGGATGTCCAATTTCCCACAGATGGGCCCTGGGTCCCTACTCTGCACTCCCCCTCATTCACAATGCTATGATTTTTTTTTTTTGGTCTTTGATGCCTGCTACCTGATCCCCTCGACGCCTTGTGATCTCACAGGCTGGTGTGCATCTTCCATGTGGGCTTTGTTGTTGCTCAGTTAGATGGTACCTTGTTTATCTTCCAGCCTATAGGACCCCAGATTCTATATATTTTGACAGCTGGGCACCGTCAGCTTTCTTCATTGCATTTGCCTATGTACCCACTTTATTTTCAGCGTTCGTGTCGGGGTAGGCTGGTGGGTGTGCTTCTTACATGTGGGCTTTGTTGTTTCTTAGCTAGATGGCCGCCTGTTTATCTTCAAGCCTTTAAGACCCCAGATGCTATATCATTTGGTAGCTAGGCACCTCAGCTTTCTTCACCACTTTTGCTTATGTACCCACTTTGTCCTCAGTGATCGAGCCGGGACAGGCTGGTGTGCTTCTTCCATGTGAGTTTTGTTATCTCTCGGCTAGATGGCTGCTTGTTTATCTTCAGGTCTTTAAGACTTCTGGTGCTATATCTTTTGGTAGCTGGGTACCAACAGCTTTCTTCATCACATTTGCTTGTGCACCCATTGTCTTCAGCGATCATGCCAGGAAGGTGAGCATCTCAGACTGCCGAATTGTTAGAACAAAGTGTTCTTGTATTGAGGGAGTACTTGTTCAGGGGCCCACTGTCCATCTGTTTTCTTAATACTGAACCTATAAATATATGTACATAGATCTATTTCCCCCTCGTCGTATATAAATATATTTACATCTTTATATGCCTGTATTTAAATCTCTATGACTACCCTTTGCCTCCTAGTTCTTTCCACTATTTCTTTTTTTTTTATCATTTTATTAGGGGCTCATATAACTCTTAGCACAATCCATTCCTCTATTTCTTTGTACTTTCCTCTTGTTCCACTATCATGTTCTACCTTCATTTGGGTTTTAGGGATTCCTCTCAGTTACATTGCCCTTGATCCCGCCCTGCCAGATCTCCTACACCCTCCTTGCCACTGATTTTGGATCCCTTGTTCCCTCGTCCCTGGGCTTGTTAACACCCACTTCCTTTCCCCCGCCTCCCCTACTCCCATGTCCCCCGGAACTGTCATCCCATTGTTCTGTTTTGGCTTGTTTATTCCGCCTATCCCTTCCAGGTAGACCTGCTATGTACCATCACAAGACTGAGTACAATGAAGCAACAACAGAAAGTAAAACAATAGCTACAACAACAATAGCGCGCACACACACACACATGTTTAAATAGTTCAGGATCTGTTTGTTGTCCTTCTCGGGTGCTTTCCAGTAGAGTCTGATATGGGTACCATGCTCTGGCACTGCCTCTATCCCTGGGGACCTCATTGCTCTGCTCCCACCGCTGATCTGCTGCATGCCCCCAGAGGCTGGCTTCCGTGTAGTGAGCTCATGACGGGCACAATTCCCACCATGTGTCTCTAGTGTTGTCCCCAATAGTGCTTTAGGTCAATGAGGAACGCTGTGTCCCGTGGTGATGCCGGCCTTGTCACCTGTGTGCATTGCTGTTCTGAGCAGGAACATTGTCCTCAGGGCTTGGTGAGCCAGGATGTGCTTCACTCTTTTTTCCACCACCCCCTATCCTCCCTTGTTGGCTCCTGTGTGCTCTGACCAGACTGGTCCCTCTTCTTGAGCTGTAGCTTCAGTGCTGTCCTCTGAAGTGAATTCTTCTGGCAGGGAGGGTGGTGCTGTCCACTTAGTTGGTAAGGGGCCTGGCCCCTCAGGCCTCTCTCTTGGTTCCCTGCTTCATGTCAGTGTGTTGCGTTCTTGTCTTGGAGCTCCGGGTTGAAGTCTGGTCCCTCTTTCCCTGTGGAGACACAATCAACACCCTCCCCCTGTGTGGGTTAGTGCCCTGTTCCCCCAGCTACCCATACCTTTTTCCCTCCTCCCTTTTAATGGGCTACCATATGTATCCCTGGGTTTAGTCTGGCCCTGCGATATTACCTGGACCTCACCCCAGGGACGTATGTATACAGTAGCTTTTTCCCTATGCCCCTTTTGCATTTTTAAGCTTACCTCAGCGGACACATGTTGTACTTGTCCTTTTATGCTTGGCTTGATTCAGTTAGCATAATTTCCTCCAGTTCTTCCCATGCGGCGATGTACTTCATGTGTTCATCGCTGCTCTTTAGGGATGTGTAATACTCCATTGCATGTATGTACCACCGTTTGTTAATCTATTTGTCTGTTGATAGAAATTTGGTCAGTTTCCAACTCCTTGCAATTGTGAACTGTGCCACGATGAACACTGGGGCACAGATGTCTGGCCTTGGTTTGTTTTTTGTCTCTTCCGGGTATATGCCCAGTAGGGGGATTGCTGGATCATATGGTAGCTCAATTTCCAACTGCTTTAGATATTGCCAAGTTGATTTCCATAATGGCTGTACATACCTACAAGTCCACCAGCAGTGGACAGGAGTTCCTATCTCTCCGCATCCCCTCCAACACTTGTTACTTTCTGATTTCTTGAATTGGGCTATCTTTGAGGGTGTTAGGTGGTATCACATAGTTGTTTTAATTTGCATTTCTTTTATGGCTAGAGATCTGGAACATTTTCTCATATATTTATTAGGATTTCTGCCCTCACTGTGGTCTTTTAACATGTATACTTACTGCTCCATCCCTACCCCCCAGCAGAAGCAGGGTTAGTATGGAAATATCAAACGAGAGACCTCTGCCTCTATTAGTCTAGTACTTCATACCATAAATTTAGAACTTTGAACAGAGGTCAACCACACTTTCTTTCCTGTCAACTGGAGACCAAACTCACTGCCACTGGCTTGATTCTGACCCATAACAACCCTGTCAGCCAGAGCAGAGCGGCTCATATGGGGCCCAAGATGGTAAGTCTTAATGAGAGTAGAAAGCAGGGGCCAGTTTCAGATGGCTGACCTTGCTTCAGCGGAACCCACAACACCACTAGAGCCAGATGACACACGTTTCATCTCTGCAAGCGCATAGGCTATTCCACAGTACTTCACGCAGCAGCCCCTGTGCTCAGAAAGTAGCCAGAGGCCCCATGTCGCGAAAGGAGTATGGCCATTTAATAAAGAAAACTCTATGGATGGATACAGAGATTTGAATTTTATATAATTTATTGTCAAAAATGTTAAGCTTAATTTTTGAAATCTTTCCCAAATTGAATAACCATTCTAGACTCAGACAGAGGCTGTGCAACAGATTTGATGGGAAGGCTCCAGCATGCGCCAAGTACTGCAGTAGACTGTCTTATTTGTCTAAGAGTTTGAGAGGGTTTCCTCTCTGCTTCAGTCTCTTTTCTATATTTTCTTTCTTTTTTCGTAATTGTCTTGAGCTGGGGGGACATGGTAGAGTGAGAACATGGACTTCGGGGAGGGGGAGTGTGCCATCGAATATGCGTAGGTGAGATGGAAAGTGATTCTGGAGCAAATCGCAAGGGTCACTCTGGGCTGCTGAAATGAGGATGACTACAGTCAGGCCGAGGGTATTGGTAATGGGTCCCATTTGAATTCCATTTAACATGATAGAATCAGCAGGCTTCCACAGTGCACCCGCCTCACTGTTGCATTAGAGAACTTTCTCTCAAGGAGGGCTTTAGGAAGCCTGCTTTCTGTCACTGCTAACACTGCTTTCTGGCTTCATGGTAGACTGTCCAGGTAGAGAGATTTGGAGATGTTATTGGTTCAATTTGATTGCTTTTCCCAAAGGTCTTGGATCAAGCTGAGAGAAGGCAGAGGCAAAGATCCAGGGCTTTACAGTCCCCACATTCTTGGGGCCAGATCGCAGTTTTTGCTCAGCCCAAACTGTGTGCTCCTGGTTTTATTGGTTTGAGCAGACTCTTAGGAAGGTGAGTCTTGAGGAAGTCAACCAGCCACTTAAAGGAGAAACATGCCCTTTTCTCTTCGTTCTTGTAGAATGGACGGAAGATCACTCATCGCTTGTGCCTCCTGTCATTCCAAACCAGCCACCAAGCAATCCAGAGCCAGCCAGAGAAGCTCCACTTCAGGGTAAAGTGGTTTTTTGAGTTTTAGGGTTGGTTTTTTGGGGGTGGTTTGGGTAATTGCCTCATGGTTTTAGCTTCAAAAATCCATTTTTTAAAAAGTTCCTTTCAAAAGTAGCATCTTTAACTCCCAAGTCATTCCTTTGATAGTGAAATGCATACACAATGAAAATATGGCTCAATTTATTATTAGTCAGGCTGCCCAAGAAAATTAGAGCCTTTACTGAGTCAGTTTCTTCAACTCTCTGTAACGCTCTAAAAATAACAGCAACTTATAAACAGCCGTAGAAATCAGGGTTTCCCAACCTCAACACAACTGACATCTTGGACCAGATAATTCTTTCCTGTGAGCGAGAGGGGCTGTCCTGTGCAATTGAGGGGGGTTCAGCCACATGCCAGACCTCCCCCTATTTGATGCCGGTAGCAACCCCGCTCCCCTAGTCCCACATCACTTGTGAGAACGAAACATGTCGTCTGACATTACCAACGATTCCCTGGAGCTGAAGGTGGGTGCAGTATCATTTTGAGGTTGTAAAGCGTTGATTTAGAGATAGTAACTGTTTCCTATTGTGTTGAATTGGGTACATTTAAAAGTCAGAATTGGATGATTTTCAGGACTGTTTCTAGTCAGCACAATAGCTTTTCAGACAGAGATATCTGGATGGATGTGCATGGTTTGATGTGGCGCTGTGAGTTCCCACCCCTCCCTCTCATCACGACGTCGTTCTGTCATCTGTGTGTGTTTGAAGATGTGTCCGTGCATCTCACTAATTTTCGTTCACAAGTAGTATAAGCCCTCCCTAGAGAGGCCCGTTTCTGAACACTGGAAGCTTGGGAATCTTGCTACCTTCAGGCCTCATTACCCTTAAATGATAACAAAGCATTTTGCTTTGGTTTTTGACTCCCCTCCCCCACCCCCCCACCCCCGGCCCGGTCCCTCATCAGTAAGAAAAGTTCAAAAGCATTTTGTGTGATAGAGTTGGAAGATGTTTGGGGTAGAGAACTTATGAAAAGTCTGTAAGATTGGCCTTCCTTACTACAATGTTTAAGAAATATAATTGTATTAGATATAAAAAGACAAGTAGAATAACTCTGCTTTCTATTTGTGATCCCTCTATTATAATTTTCAAGAGGGAAAAAATGTGTTCCTGGTAGCTAATATTGTCATGAGATTAGTACATCCACTTATATGCAGTAATGTCTTTTGGCTTGAGTATACTTTTTTAGGGTGACAATGGCTTGAATAAAGATAGAATATAATAGATACTTACACATGAGTCAGTGTGGTGTGGTCTTCTCACCACCAAAAAACAACGTTTCCAGATTTCACTTGAAGTACAGTGTCCGCCAGGATGCAGCTATATGGATAACTTGGCTAGATGATCTGGCCATAATTTTGCTAAATTCATAGTTTAGCAAATCCCCCTGAGCAAGACCACACTTCTCATCTCAGCAGGTGAACGTTTACAGAGAGGTGTACATTTCCATCTTTGGAGAAAGTACCGTTTCCCCGAAAGTAAGATATCCCCTGAAAATAATACCTACTTACAGTTTTGCCTCTCATTGAAATATAAGGCATCCCCCTGAAAATAAGACCTCCCAGAAAATAAGGCCCCCCCGAAGCTACCATAACTCTGGACTCTGGACTGTAGCGGCGGGCACCACCGCACACCTCAATGTTGGCCACAGCACAGCCAGAGCAGATAGGAAGTGTGAGGTCTCTTTTAATAAAACAATAAAAAATAAACAATAAATGTGTACCATATTCTTCTTCATGGAAAAATAAGACCTCCCCTGAAAATAAGACCTAGCACACATTTTGGAGCAAAATTAATATAAGACACTGTCTTATCTTCGGGGGAACGGTATTGTCGGAGGACATGGTTGAGGGTATTCACGGGGTGGAGTGGGCTACGAGCTGGGCTGCTAACGACAAGGTCACCAGTTCCAACCCTCAGCTGTGCCACAGGAGAAAGATGCCGCTTTCTACTCCTATAAAGAGTTAAGTCTCAGAAACCTTTAGGGCCACTATGAGTCAGCATTGACTCAATGGCAGTCAGAGCGCATTTGCACTTCAGTGCCACCAGCATCCCTGACCATTCAGGCAAACATGCACCAGGGGCAATTTGTTGAAGTACAGAGTTTGGAGACAAGACCTGGAAGCTCCCGATTTGGTGAGTCAAGAGTAGGCCCAAGAAATGAGTGTGTTCTTGTAAGTTTCCAAAACCATTCTCATGTACAACCAGGACTTACCGTTTGTGACTACTGAACAGAGAATATCAGATTTTTATTAAAATTATATGTACCTCAGGGCTGCAGCAGAGAGCTTCAAATACCACTGCTTGTGGGGGAGAAAAATCTTTCTTTCCCCAAACTAGTATTAAGTCATGGCCCACCCATACATAATAAGTCACGACTGTGCCTAAGTGTGAAGCCATCTCGTCTTCCTTTCCTAGTTCAGCGTCAGAGAAGGATAACGGTGGTGTCCTTTCAAAGCCCTGCTCGAGGCTCTGTTAAGTTGAAAACACTCTAAATACAAATTCTGTAATGGATTTTAAAATGTACAACCAAAAACTCACTCCGATAAACTGCCGGGCTCATTTGCACATTGTGTAGGTTTGCCTGTAATCAGGGTAATAAGCCCAAGCATCCCTCGACTTTCCAATCTTCCAAAGACATGTTAGGTTTCATTATTTCTTTTTCCTTGGGCTTGTCCATCGTTTATTCATTCAACAAACTATTTTGGAGCTCATGAGATGTCCCTCAGAGTACTGTCTCCCATCATTCCTTGCCAAGTCAGTTCCGATTCATAGTGCCACCATGCGGGTTTGGGGAGTTCAGTGGCTGGTTTTTCAGAAATGGATCTTCTGAGCTTTCTTTCCCAGCACCCCTGGGTGGACCCAAACTACGGCCTTTGACATTAGCAACCAAGTGTCGTAGCTGTTTGCAGCTAACTGGTAACTGGTAATATCATATGCTCACAAAAATAATGCACATGCTATATGATGTGGGTTTTGGGTTTGGTTTGCAAGCACACAGCACCCTCATGTGTTAGTTTCCCATGTGCCAGATGCATGTGACAGGCATGTGTTTGGTATTTCTTTGGCCATAACACATGTGAAGAAATAAGGGTTTCTAGCTTACATGCTAGTGGTGCTTATACACATGCCTGGAAATACCCGTCACACATGAGCGTGGGGGTAGTAAGTCAGAAGCCAACCAGTTAAGTGCAATTTATACTGTTTCAAACAGCAAGAGAGGATAAAGAGGAAGAGTGGAGCCAGAAATAGAGGTCGGGATGTTGGAGGAGGTTTTGCAGTTTTTACTGAGCTGGTCCACGTCGCTGGTTTTGCATTGGGCTGCGAACTGCAAAGTCAGCAGTTTGAAACCACCAGCCACTCTGTGGGGGAAAAAAGTTGAGGCTCTTTACTCCCATAAAGAGTTACAATCCCCAAAACAAACAAACAAACAAACAAACAAACAACCAGTTACAGTCTTAGAAAATCATAGGGCCAGTTCTACTTTGTCCTGTAGGGTCGCGGTGAGTCCACATCCACTGGCTAACAGTGAGTTTGATGTTGTTTTGTTTTGTTTTGCCCCAGTCGCACTAAGAGTCGCTCAGGAAAAGCCTCCTGAGAAGGTACCACCTGTGGATGTCTCGCTTTGCTGAGATGTGTTTCCCTCCAAGCCCTCTGAACCACTTAGTAGCCTTTGCTTCAAGATCACCCACCACTCACCCCCGCCCCTTCCTCCTGAAAGTGAAATCTGGGGATCATTCACCCTCTTGGTGCTTCCGCAGGTGAAGTCCCAAGTTGCATCTGGACTGGGTGCTCCCTCTTCCGCGCCGCTGACAGGGCGGTGGTTGCCACGCTTCCAGGAAGCGTTGGGACTGCACTGGAGGGTTTAGTGAGCAGACTGGTGAGGCCAGGCAATTTAAAAGAGCCTTTTTAAGAAGCAGAATGTTTAAAATATGCAATTAAAAATTGTATGTGTGCCCAGAGGCCTTTTAAGGCCTTTAGCTAGAACTCACCCAAAATAGCTCTCCTTCCTGGGTGCCAGGCTTCTATTACCGTGGGAGCATGGGGATTGCTTCTTTTTTTTAATTTTTGGATAACTTTCTCCATAACAAAGAATAGGAGCAGATGGGGGAAATTGGCAAGGAGAGGAGATAGGAAGTGAAATTAGATGAGAGGAAAGAGTCGCTGATGGAACTGTGGTTACAATCTGGGATATCCAGAGAAATTCCAGTGAGTTTTTCAATTACAGAGAAATGGCCAACGAATAAAGCCCAAAATAAATCTTTTAGCCGTGTGTCCAAATAGTAATTTGTGAATGTATCCAAAACAAAACCAAAGAAACCATGAAGTAAAACTTTAGGCAGCATGGTTTGGAAGTGACCTAGCTGTATAGCTCTCACTTCATTTGAAACCGTACAGCTGAGCTTGGGGCTGCCTGACTCTTGTTAGTAATTATTTCATGTTTAATAGCCACATGTCCTGAGTTTGTTTCAAGCAATAAATTCTAGTACCAGACTTGCCTGAGATCTTTTTCAAAAATAGTAGTCAAAATTAGTTGAACCCTCACTTTATTTTTAAGTCGAGTTCTGATTACTTTAATTGTTAAAGCGCCATCTATTTTTATGGAATTCTTCTGCACTTTCCATAATGTGATTTCTGGTATCACCAGTGTATTTTACAAATGAATCTATTTGGCATAAAACCAAGGCTTAAAAACTAAGATCAGGGAAGCACATCGGAGCCAAATCGTCAAACATACAACAGAACAGAACACAGGCCAAGGCCCTGCCCACGTTGTGAGAAGATCACTGGGCAGCTCCATCCAGAGGGCAACCCGGAGGTGTGTAGGTGCCTGGCGCCTGGTTCATCCATCTCTCATATCTCTTACTGGACCTTCAGTCTGAACTACAATAGTACCTTTTCCTCAACCAGAATACCCAAACGACCTGCCACTTCGTAGGTGCCTTTGTCAGGGTCAAGCTGTGCCCCATGGGGTGTTCACTGCTGATTTTTCAAAATTTGATCATCATCCCTTTCTTTGGAGGTAGTAGATTCACATCTCCAACCTATTGATTAGCAGCTGACTACTTACCTGTTCACACCACCCAGGGCTCCAAAACTGGCCTGAGACCATTCCCATTTTGAAATCAAGAGACGTTCTCTGAGACATACCTGTGTCCAAATGCCCGGGTTTCCGAACTTGAAGAGCGGCCTGTGTTTGGCATTTTTCAAGCACGACCTCTCTATTTTTATGGAATGATGCTGCACTTTCCATAGCTTGATTTCTGGTATCATCAGTGCAATTGACAAATGAATTGATGTGGCTTAAAATTTTAAATCTTACCGCTGAGTTTGGAGCTGCCTGATTCTTGTTAGTCATTATTTCATGTGTTCTTTAAAGTTCATGTTCTCTCTTGTGGTAATGCACCTTGTGCCTTTTAAATTTTTTGCTTTACTCCAGGCAAACCCTTTTTTACTCGAAACCCTTCGGAGTTGAAGGGCAAGTTCATTCACACGAAACTGAGGAAAAGCAGCCGCGGCTTCGGCTTCACAGTTGTTGGAGGGGACGAGCCTGACGAGTTTCTCCAGATCAAGAGCTTGGTTCTGGACGGGCCCGCTGCACTGGATGGCAAGATGGAAACAGGTAAGAGGCCAAAGGGACCCTAGTGTGTTCTGAGGTATCCGCGGGACCAGACAGCATCACGGGTTCACAGGGTTGTAAGTGGCCAGTCAAGCCCTTGAGGATAAGCTTGTATCCCCTCGTGAGGATTAAAATGGTCTACACTTTGGGGGTGGCGCTTGGGATACTAGTGAGTAGAGCCAAGTGGTAATTTACTAAAAATGTAGGCGCCTTTGAATAAATGAATTCTAAGCTTGAATTTTTACGATAAGTTTTTTCTTTTTTTGAAGAAAGCTCCAGTGTTTTCTTAGTGATGCTTATTTTCTCACGAGCAGGCAAGATGCTCAGCCCTAAAAGAATGCCTATTAGCAGTTAAAATAAGCAATTGCAGAGTCTTTATGTACCTTACAGGACCACCTGCAAAGCCAGTTTCAATTCAGCTTTGTCTGGGTAGAACACAGCATCCCATTAAATGCCAAACTCTCACCTTTCGCAGGGGACGTGATTGTCAGTGTGAACGACACCTGTGTCTTGGGACACACACATGCTCAAGTGGTGAAAATCTTCCAGTCCATTCCTATTGGTGCCAGCGTGGACCTTGAACTCTGCCGCGGATACCCATTGCCTTTTGACCCAGATGACCCCAATACAAGTTTGGTGACCTCTGTGGCTATTTTGGATAAAGAGCCGATTATTGTGAACGGCCAAGAGACCTACGACTCGCCAGCCAGCCACAGTAGTAAAACGGGCAAAGTCAGCAGCGTGAAGGATGCCAGGCCCAGCAGCCCTGCCGACGTGGCTTCAAATGGTTCCCACAGTTATCTCAACGACACTGTCTCTCTGGCTTCCTCCATCGCCACCCAACCCGAACTCATAACGGTCCACATCGTCAAAGGGCCGATGGGCTTTGGTTTCACTATCGCGGACAGCCCTGGCGGGGGTGGCCAGAGAGTGAAACAGATTGTGGACAGCCCTCGGTGCCGAGGCCTGAAAGAAGGGGACCTCATAGTGGAAGTTAATAAGAAGAACGTGCAAGCTCTCACTCACAATCAAGTAGTGGATATGCTGATCGAGTGCCCCAAGGGCAGTGAGGTCACATTGTTGGTGCAAAGAGGAGGTATGGAGGCTTTGTTCTTCCTTTCCTAAGTCCAAGCACCTTGTTGATCTTACTGGTCTTCAGAAGGCTACTTGGGGCTTTTCTGATGTCTGTTCCTTTGAGTTTTTCAAAAATATTTATATATACAAATATTGGAAATGCATTTTGAACACCTTTTAGTGTCTCTAAACGCTAGCCTCTCTAGATTGAAGGTGTTGGTTTATTCAGTAAGGCACCTGAAGTTGGCTTGCACAGCCTGTAAAAGAAGATGCTCAGCTGCTTCTGCAAACTCAACCCACACACCTCGCTATGTTTCGATTACATTGGTGTTTTGGGTTTTTTTTTTGATGGTTTGTTCTGTGTGGGAATGTTTTCTTGTGGTTTGGGTGACAGTTCACAGAGCGAAGTTTTCTCCCCCTCAACAATTCTTGCGTGTTTTGTGTTATAACACTGGTTGCTATTCCCTCAGTGCAACAGCACTTCCCCCAGTGTTCCATCATTGCTAGTCATCCTTCAGTTTGGTCCCTTCCTGCCTTCTGAGCTTTATCTCTGGACAAATCCTGTCCTTTCGGTCGTCCGTGGTTGGGTGTCCTGAAGAGTACATTTCTCACGGCCTGTCTGTTGTCCGACTGGAAGGTAACCCCCAGGTATGGGTTTCCTTACAGGCTTGAAGGGTGTCTGAGGGCCACAGTCGGGGGTTCTGCCAGTCTCAGGCTTATAAGTCTGGTCCTTTTTTATGATTTTAAATTTTGTTGTATCTTTTCTTCCTTCTCTCTTTAGGAACGTATCTGTTGTGATTCCAAACCAAGTGGTTGGTATAGGAGCCAGGCACCATCCAGTTCTTCTGGTCTCAGGCTAGTGCAGGCTGCAGTCTGTGTGGGCGCTTAGACCTGTGCACTTGTTGGTTTTCTTCAGTCTTGTATTTTCTTCGCTCTTGTTTCATTGGTCTCTTTTCTGTTCCTTCCGTTCTGAGCCCTTTTCTAAGAGTCTGTGCACTGCCTATTCCCACTCTTAGGAATGCCTCTCTCCTAGCTAATCCATTGGCTGACCTCACCTTAACAAGGTCTCCTTCTGAGAGTGGACTTCTCTGACGACTTTATCTAACGTAGCCCATCTCACCATGGCCTTTGCTGTCATTGTCATTGTTGTTGTTCTTAGGGGTCATCCGGTCAGTTCGGACTCACAGCAACCCTACGCCAGCCTCCAAAGGGTTGTGAGGTTAAGCCCTTGCTGCAGCCACTGCATCAGTCTTTTTCACTCACCCCCCGCTTTCCCATGATAAGCCTTTCTCCAAAGATTGGGCACTCCTGCCAACAGGTGAAGCAATCTCTCACCATCTTTTCTTCTAAGGAAGATTATTATCATAAGTCATTTTTTTTGTGTATTTACCCTTTTTCTTTTTTTAAAATCATTTTATTAGGGGCTCATACAAATCTTTGCACAATCCATACATACATCAATTGTGTCCAGCACATTCATACATATGTTGCCATCATCATTCTCAAAACACCTGCTTTCTACTTGAGCCCTTGGTATCAGCTCCTCATCTTTATCCCCTCCCTCCCTACTCCCCCCTCCCCCCTGAACCCTTGATAATTTATAAATTATTATTATTTTATCATATCTTACACCATCTGACGTCTCCCTCACCCACTTCTCCGCTGTCCATCCCCCAGGGAGGAGGGTATATGTAGACCTTGTTATCAGTTCCCCCTTTCTACCCCACCTTCTCTCCACCTTCCTGATATCGCCACTCTCACCATTGGTCCTGGGGGGTTCTTGCTCTCTCATTCTCCCACTAGAATATAGGCTCTATAAAGCCAGGGCCCATGTCTACCTATCGAAAGCTGTGTCCCCAGCATCTGACACAGTATCCGACACCTGCTTCATATTTGTGAACGGATAAGGGATTGAATGGATCAGCGGATGGGTGTGCAGTTATTTGTACTTTGCAGGAACAACATACTTCACCATACTCCTATTTTAATGCAGTTGTTGTTGATCGCCAGAGAATGGAGATGTTTGGAGCTTTGAGACACTGAGCTTTTTCCTTCTTCTCTGCCTGCACTCCCACCCCCTGCCCCACCAGAGCTCCCAGGACCTCATATGGAGAAATATTTTTGACCATGTTGAACTGTCTTGCGACTGGGACTCATGTTTATGACTAGTTTTAACAGGTCATCTCACACAGTGGACCTGGGATTGGTTAGCTCTCCAGTCCTGACCTACATGATTTGTCTCATGCATAGCGTATTCAGCCTTCTGTCAAGCGGTAAGGACCCAGACAAATATTTCTTCCTGGTTCCGCTGCAGCAGAGGAACTGATTTATATTATGGCAACCACTTTGTCATGCTCTGGTGGAGGGTCAGCCTCTGCTATCAAAACAGAGTCATTGGAAGGAAATGACAAGTACAGCGCCACTGCCAGCATGAACCGCAATTCTCACTCAACTCACGCTAACAGTTTAAAAGCCACTGTGAGATTTTATTCTTAAAAAATGTTAGTCTCAGCAATAAGATTTTCTAGTCTGTTCTTGTACCTAGATCCCTTGATAGCATAAAACCCCAAACCAAACTCACTGCTATTGATTTCACTTTAATGCATAATGACCTTATAGGACAGGGTAGAACTGCCCCCTTTGAGTTTCTTAGGCTGTAAATCTACCTGCAGAATAGCTGGCAGTTTCGAACTCATAACCTTGTGGTTACTAGCCCAACTCAGAACCCATTACATCACCAGGCTCCTCTTGACATACACAGATGGGAATTTTTTAAAGCAGTTGACTGAGATGTAGTAGGAAGTCACTTAAGCATAAAGATGATGATGATGATGATGATGATGATGACATACTTATACAAAGCACTTGCACACCTGCCACACTGCTGTCATCTGATTGCTCTCACTGCCCAGCCCACAACAACAAAAACTAACAACTACCACCAAGCCCACTGCCTTTGAGTCCATACAGACTCATAGCCACCCGATTGGAGAGGGAAGACCTGCCCCTGTGAGTTTCCAAACACTCTAACTGTTTGTGGGGGTAGAACACCCCGCCTTTCTACCGAGGCACTCCTTGCTGGTGGTTTTAAACTGCAGCCCTTGCTGATCACAGCCAAGCTCGTACCCACTACACCGCCAGGGTGGACTTCATCCCTCCTCTGGTGTTTCCACAGCGGTGGCGGCCTGTTGTACCCACTGAAGCCTGAATAGCGCTGGCCTCTTGCATAGTTGCCGATTTCTTTGGCCCACAGCTTGGAAACGCTTCAATAGTTCTTAGGACAAAGGAGGCCTCTCTGATTCAGCCAGTGCTCACTTGACAGTTACCCGGCTCTCCTTCCTCATTGATGTGCTCCCTCTTTTCTGTTGCCAATGTGTACGTCTTTCTACTTCATTACATTCACTTTCACAAGGGAACACAAACTAAAGCCTTATTACAGTCTAACTTACAATAATTCCTGACACAATATTGTAATGAATTTACCCTAACTTGCAAACCACTGATTATAGAAACAAACACCCCTAGATTGTAGGGGGTAAGGGCCTCCGAGGGAGAACTCTCGCCTTGCTTGTGAGAGACATGGAATGTGTTCCTGGTCAGGGCATCTCTTGCTCAGGTACTACCTACCTGCCCGTGGAGGCTTTCGTGGATTTTTAAAGTTTTAGGGTTCAGTGGAGCTTCTATCTACACTAAGACAACTGAGGACGAAAGGCCTGATGACCCTACTTCTTAAACTCAGCCAGTGAAAATGCTGCAGTTCCCGGTCGTCTGCTCCGCAAACAGTCCTGGTGCTGGTGCGGGACCTGGTCATGTTCTGTTCTGTGATGCAGGGGGCAGCGTTGAGTTGAGGACCAGCTCTCCCGCAGCCAACAGCACCACCCCTGGATTTCCTGCATATCTGCCTTTCTCCTCTGAACGGCTAAGACCTACTTTTTGTTACTGCTGAGACATTTTTATAACATTAAATTAATATGGAAAGATCCAGAATGTATTGCCACCTTAGTTAACATCCTTATAGTTTATTCCAGAACCTGAGTAATTTAAAACCACTCTAACATCAGCAGCCTTTAAAATATACTGTACGCATGGTTTGATTTATGTGTAGGATAGACAGTTTGTACATCTGCAGTTGGTAGACGAGCACCAGCTATTATTAATCTTTCTCGAAAGCATATAAATATATTTGTGTCTGCCATATATTAGCTATTTGAATCGGGGCTGACATTTCATCATCCCTCCTATGTGGTGGGTGTGTAATGAGATGGTTTGATGAAGAACAAAAACAGCAGCTACCTACATTGAGAAAATAAATGGCCATTTCACTGTTCTCTTTAATGAATCTCATTTCTGTCATAACTCCAGTAAGCAGATTGATAAACTCATTAAGCCCACACCGTTGGTGATTCTCAAGAATTCATAGCTCAAGGAGGAGGCTCCCTATGCCATTTGGACAGAAGATCTTTTCTGCTGCAGGGCAGAACTAGCTCTTGGTGGAATCCATTTCAATTCTTGATATCCTGAGCTTGCTTAAAAATTATTTATTTTTAATAGTGTATTGGCTTGTAATTCAAGTGTCATACATGTAATACTTCACTTGTATTAAGAGGAGTTGTACAGCCTCTATACAATCAATTTCAATTTCTTCTTCCTTGTACACATTGTTGTTAGCTCCACATTTCCCCCCAATCTCCCCCGCCATGCTTCTAGATCATTATTAATCCAGTTACTGTCTCTCTAGATACACCTGTTCTTGATATCAGATCCAGAAATCCATAGGAAACACAAGCGAGAACCAACAATGACAAAACAGGGAACAACCTCGATTGAGAGCAGGAAATATTAAAACTGAAACACCTTCAAAGGGGGTTCAAAGGATAAGGTGTTACATTTTGACCTGAACACATCTGTCATGGTTGACTGTACAGTGCTATCTGTCTTGATAGCATGATTGTTCACATTCTTGGACTATGATCAGAGGGGGGGGCGGGTCATTGGAGGATTAATCCATGTGGGGGACCCTGC